GTTTGTGGCAAGTACTTTGAGGTTGCTCTATTATGAAATAATGTTTGATTAGTGTTTATTTTTGTAAATTTAAAAAAAATGTGACTTAATTTATCTACTCCTAGTTTTCACATTTGATACGTCTCCCCTTTCATTCCCGTGCCCTGATCACTTTAGGATTTTAAAGAGCCTTCACAGTGTGTGGAGTGACTATTTTTCATTGCATACCTGTTATTTTTGTAACGCAGATGGCTTGAAAAGGATTTATGGCTAGAATTGTGTACTGTACAGTAAACTTATTTTATCAATAAAGTTGACTGAAAACATAGATGTCTCCATGACTAAAGCAAGGTACTGGCTCTGAGGTGAGTTTGACATAAAAAAGAAAGTAACCACAATTGTCCTATGTGGCAGCTGTTCAGCTGAGGGCAGACAAACTAAACTGGGCTGGTTTGTACAACTGAGAGCTTTGAACAGCCTTGACTTTTTAACAAGCACCTGGGATTAGATGATTGTTAAAATACAGAATTAATGGCACTGTTTTCATGCAGAATTACATGTTAATGTAATTTACATTGTAAATGCCCAAATGAAATTTACATTGGCTTAGGGAGTTTGCTTAAGCACTTTTTCTGGTTAAATGAGGAATTTCTAAGTCTGCTGCTGAGTGTAAAACTTGAAGTTGTTCTTTTTGGAGAGCCTGGAGTCTGAGTGCCTGTGGCACGACTGGCGGTCACTTTGCCCAGGTGAGCACTGTGATGCTGCTCACAGCATGAGGGCAGAGGGAAGGTGAGACCTTAAAGCTCCTCCAGTGCCGCCTCCTGTCCTGGGCGGGGACACCTTCCACTACCCCAGGTTGCTCCAAGCCCTGTCCAACCTGGCCTTGAACACTGCCAGGGATGGGGCAGCCACAGCTTCTCTGGACAAGTATTTTGTAATTTTTATCAGTTCTTACCAGATGCACACATCTGTTATCCAGCCAAGCTGATAAGACAGCACAAGAAAACTAAATGCAGGTTTGAGTGAATGCTGCATGTAAAACTACAAATGATTCCTTTGCTTCTGGACCCATTTAGCATAACTGGAGAGCTGTGTGGGAGGAGGGACTGAGGTACTGCTGCCTGGAACCACCTTCCTGGCCCCAGACATTGTGAGCCAGTGTGGCCCTTGGATCAGGGAATATCCTTATTTCCCACATTCAGAAAAAAACTCACCTGACAACTGCCTTAACCAACTGCTCAGCAAGGAGAGAAACTTCCTCATTGCAGTCTTGGAAGAAGCACGTGCTGGCAGCACTCCTCAGGCACCAGCCAGAGAGGCACAGGGCAAACCCACCAACTCCAGCTGCAGCCTCTTTCCATTTCCCAAGGTGAAGGTTTACTTTTTTGAAGACTGGCAGACTGATTTCTCTGCAGTGTTCTCAGCACCAGAAAACCCCCAATCCATACACCTGAGGCTGGCTCTTCCAGCAGTGAGCAGCAGTAGAGCTGTTTTTGAGAAGTCAGTTCTTGGAAGCTCAACACAGCACACCAGTGGATGCAGGGTGATCAGCACCTTCCCTTTTCCAATACTACGCTCAGGAACACAGTAAACAAATTTCTAAATGACTCATCATCTGCAACTTATTACATTCCTGGCTAAGCAAACAGCAGCTGCCTCCTACAAGTCTCTATCTGTGCTTCTTTGCTTCCTGCAAATGGCTTTCCCCCTCACCCTCAGCATTCAGGATTAAAAAAAAAAACAAAATCGAATCCAGCTCATTTTGAGCATATTAGATAATCTGTTGTTACACCAGATTAGATGGAAAAATTGGAACTGGTGCTTTTTCTGACGAGGCAGCCTTGTGAAGATCTAGTTCTGAAGCAGGCAGGGAAGTTCTACACAACCCTCATTCCTGCCACTCCCTCTTGCCCCCAAAACGAGCTCATTCATTGCTCTGGTTTGAAGTTGACTTCTCCCAGTGTGCAAGGAAGCACAAAGCCCTTCATGCTCAGCAGGAGTCAGCTGGCTGCCTGGGGCTGGGGACTAGAGCAGACAGGCTCTGAGAACAATAAAATAAATATTATAAACAACAAGCATCTGTTGAACACACAAATGTTATAGGAGCTGTTGTCTCCAGAGAAAACTCAGACACCAGAGTCTACTAATCCAGGACATGGGAGAGGAGGACAACTAGATGGATATTGGCAAAAACCAAACACATCTGGATATGTGAATATATCAATGCATTCCAGCCCCTGAGTCAGGACACAATAACCTAACACAATACTCACCTTGCATACCTTCTTTTCTTACACTGACTCTTCACTGGATAAACCAACCAGGAACCAAAGTTCCATTAAAGCTTGCCCCAAAAAACACTGCCAAGATCACTGCAGACCTACAGCTGCTGATGGGTCACAAGGCAGAAAGATTAAAAGTTCCAAGGCTCAGTGAAAAATGCACATTTTGAGATGGAGCCTACTGATTTCTCTGGAGGACTTCTCTCTTTTTTTGGAAGCCTTTCCAGATCAAGGACAGCTCAAGGCAAGGACGGAAGGGAATCAGAGAATCATAGAAGGGTTGGTGCTGGAAGGGACCTTAAAGAGACCTTAAACAGATCTCACCCTGGACCTCAAGGGGTACACAGAAAAAGCCTTGAAAATACCCCTTCAACACTGCAATGGATCAGTTCATGTATTCTGATCATCACCACTGTTATTCACTGTGGCTTAGGGATTATGGAAGAAAATTCCTGAACCATCTCTTGGCAGAACTAAAAAAAGGAAACAATCTCCAAGTCAGGATCTCATCAAAAAAAGTTCAAAGCCCACTTCTGCTAGAAGATTCCTGTGTGATCTTGCAGACCAGTTTTCAGGCAAGAAGGGGATGACAACCATTCCTTTGTTCTCTAGGGCCTCATCCAACAAAGCTCTCAAAAAAAGCCTCTCTGGACCATGCACTTCCCTCGGTGGCTGCACAGAGCACACGGCACACTCTCAGCCTCTGGGTGTCACTGCAACGCCAACCAAGCTCCCCCACCCCAGCCCTCGGCCAGAAAAATATTTTTCAAAGCAAACTCTCCCTATAAGATGAAAGGCAGAGGCTAAACTGTAAAAGTATCATTGAAAAGACATCTTTATTATAAAAGATATAGAAAATTAGACTTGTTTCTTGCACAATGTTAATCGCAGCAGTTATAAAAACCCACCAAGGTAAACAGTTTAAGAGCATTTCTATACCACAGAAGGGTTTGCTGCTTGCCATTACACATGGCAGAGACGTGCTCAGAATCAGTGCAGGGAGGATGGGCAGAGACCCAGGGAAGAGCTCCTTGTTTACCCCACGTGCCACACAACAGCACAGGGAAACAAGACCCAAACTGCAGGATTTCAGCCTTGCTTTGCTGTTTGAGGCAGATGGTACAGCTCCGAGCAATGATGGGATTTGTCTCTAAACATCAGAAGGGTTCAGTCATGTCAGACACTGTCTTTGAGCTCTCCTTAAAGAAAAGCCATTTAAAAGTCATTCATTCCTGTCTATGCCAGGGTGTTTTAACTAAGTTCCCAGAAAAAGTTCTTTTGCTAGTTTCCTCAGGAAGAGCTGTTTCTTACAGATTTCCTACCAAGAATTTAAAGTGGTGGCTGAGAGCTTAAGCTTCCACGCCTGGGAAATTCCCTCATGGAGGCTCCATGCAGGCAGCTGAGCAGCCACTCACCTCATACAGGCAGGACTGTGCACTTGGCTGCCCTCACTGAAGGTTCAGACACAGGGAGAAGGAAGAAGAGTCACCATAGCCTGTGCCAAGGTACAGGATGTGAGACTTGAGCCATCCTCCAGTGCATGACAGACCGTGGTCTCCCCCCAGTGGAGACCAGGATGGGGCCAAGGGACAAGCACAGGTAAAACACCTTCAGGTCTCCTTGAGATAAGCCAAAAACACATTGCTCCAGTTGACATTTTGAAAATGGCTCTTGCGGTTTAAGGAAGACCATAAAGCCATCACAGGAGATTGGTCCCTCATCTGTTTTTATACTACATTCTGCTTTGGGCAGATGCAATTCAAATAGGTAAGGAACACATTCAGTCAGCAAGATTCCTGGTTAGCATCTTGCTAGCTAAATGCTGTTTTCACCCCTTAAAGGCAAAATTAAAAGATGACTAAAAATAAAGAATTAGTGTTCCATCCAACTCCAGGGAAAAAAATTACCATTGGCTACAAAGAGCTTATTTACTTTTTTCTTTTATGACAGCACCATCAAAAAAAGATACTATACCAGAGCAGAAACAAGACACAGGCTGTTCAGAAAGCAAACAGAGAGACAAACCTCTTGTGTTCTCTTAGCAGCCATCTCTGTACAGAGACCAGATGACCAGTTTGCTACAGAACCACCCAACAGTGAAGGAAAAAGTCTTGTCTCAGACCAGTCCCCTTCCCGAGCCCCACAGTGCACATGTACAACAGTTAACTCAGTGCAGTTTCAGTTCAAGTCACTCAGTTCAGCTTGCAAGGTTCAGTAACACTTCTTGGAAACCAGTGTGTCTGCAGCCACACATTTTGTACCTGTTTTAGGAGGAGATGCTCAGTTCCTGCTGGAAGAACGCCTTGTATGCCCAGTCCTTGTCCCTCCCCTCACAGCTGGACAGGCTGCCCACCCTTGGGAGCAAGTTGGGCACTGCCTCAGCAGACATTTCCACATGAAGGGAACGAACAGGAGGTTGCTTTCCAAGGCCTGGTTGATATTTCATGTACCCAAAGAGCAAAGTAGACCCCACGGGATCAATGCCTGTCCTTGACCACAAGTACAGAATTCCACAGCTGGACACAAGCAGGTTGCAGCAGGCAGAGTGTGCCACAGAGCAGTCACAAACAGCATGTAGTGTACTGGACAGGTAACTGCTCTGCCAAGTTGGGCAAGCAGCAATCTCTTATTCAGCAGGACAAATTAGCAGTGGTAAATCCTGCACCACTGGCTGGTTGCTGGTAATCATCTCACCATTCCCAAATCCTCCCTCTCCATTCCCACCAGTTATTTGGCAAGTTACAGAAGCAGTGGAGTTCTCTCCCCGGCTGGCTGGTCTTTCTGGAAGAACTCTTTGATATGCAGCAGCTTGTTGTGGATCCTCTCTCTCAGGGGAGGGATATGATGGCTGGGGTCTAAGACATTGGTGCTTCTACGCTCCCTTTCCCTCTTCCAGGTGAGATAGGGATGTGGTGGGAAGGGCACCTCACTCCTCTCCCGGCGCAGCTGCACAGTGACCCCGCTGAGGGCCAGCATTGCCCACACTGACAGGATGATGAAGTCTGGAAAAAGAGAAACAGATTTCTGTAGCAAAGCAGAACATTCCTTGCTTTCCCAAGCGAAAACACTGAACTAGTTTAGTGACAGAAAAGAATGAAGTATCATCCCCATATCAGATGTCCAGAGTGATTCCATGCAGAGACACACAGGGAGCTGGGAACAGTCTTTTCCCTGTATTAGGCCTTTGACTGCCCACTCTGAACAGTCCTCAGCAAGCTGCCAGCCCAAGTCTGAGCAGCACCTTTCACAAGGGCCTTTGTCACAACCTGCAGGAAGGCTCCTGCCTTCGAGTCTACTGAGTATTGCTTTTGAAGGACTAGAATTTCTCATGTGGACATTAAATCTCACACTGTACTGTGTTCTCCTTCCATCTCCTTCCTGCCCTTGCTCAGAGTTTACAACAGAACCAAAGAGGCAGTGATTCGTCCTTAAAGAGAGAATAAGTCTCAGGAGGACTCACCATTCTTTTGAAAAGGCACATTAGTGTAAGCTCTGCTGAAGTAATTGTTGAGGACCCTTCTGAGCAGGTCTAAGGTGATGTAAGAAAGGCTTGTGTAGACGTAACAAGCAATGGCCAGGATCACCGTGTAAGAGCCCACTATTCCAGAAGCCAGGATGTTCAGCTAGACAGGGAGAAAAACCACAGCTTTAGGAGACTGATTAACACTCTTTATTCCCCACTCCCCAAAGACAATAGAATCACAGAATCATGGAATGGCCTGGATTGAAAAGGACCTAAAAGCCTATCCAGTTCCAAACCCTTGTCATGGGCAGGGACACCTTCCACTATCCCAGGTTGCTCCAAGCCCTGTCCAACCTGGCCTTGAACACTGCCTGGGATAGGGCAGCCACAGCTTCTCTGGACAAATATTTTGTAATTTTTATCAGTTCTTCTGTGATAAATCAGCTGCACACATCTGTTATCCAGCCAAGCTGATAAGACAGAACAAGTCAAATAAAGGCAGGTTTGAGTGGATGCTGCTTGTAAAACTACAAGTCATTCCTTTGCTTCTGGACCATTCAGCACAATTAGGGCTGAACAGGAACTGCCTGCAACTGGCCCTGTGCTGATCTTCACAAAGCTGTGCTGAGTTTTCTGTACATATTCTATAGGACAACCTTTTGCATCAAGGAGTCTGACACCCCCTTCTCCCTCCCTCCTTCTGAGGTGACAGCACAGTTACTTACAATTCTTGGGCAGCCAACAAAAAGCACCGGAATCATCAAGGCTACACAAGTAAAGGTCACCCAGAACACCACATCATCACGGAAGACCCTGTAGTCTCCTGCCAAGACAACACATTTACCAGTGAGGGAAACATTTCTTTTTTCACAAGTGTTTGGGAGTCAGCTTCTTTCCCCTCAAACTTCTGTACATTCAGAAATACCTGGAGTACATTGTTGAGAAGCCCAGCTTTTGAGCGCAAATCCTGACTGTTTAAGATGTATTGGAACAGTTACTCAGGAACAGAAAAACTGTCCCAGTCGAGCACAGGTCCTGTACTCTGTGCTAGAACAGCAGATCTTGTCCATGGAACAAAGATTTTTGACAAGGTACACGTTCCTTACCTGGTAAGAATTAAAAGTACCAGAATACTGCTGCCCAGTAAGAAGCTGTTTTGTTGCCTCTATGGGTTTCTAAGCTAACAATCTGCATCTGACTCCAGAGTATGGTGCAAATGTAGCCATCACAACACTACCATGTAACAAATTCTTCTGGGCTTTAGGAAAATTAAATCACTCAAACCCTTCTTTGCTCCCCCTGCCTTCTAAGGCCTGTGGATTCACCAGAGGGGACAAGCTGACCTCCAGCTGAGTCACTGCTTCACTTTAATGAAGAGCAATCAGAGACTGCATGGATTATCACAGAATCATGGCTTGAGTCAAACTGGACTGGAGGATGAAAAGCTGTCCTAGCAAAGGACCTTAAAAAGAGAAGTTTTGAGACTGCAAAGTACAATAAAGTATAGCTGATGCTCTGATGTCCCAGAGGGACTCCAGCTCAGCAGGCTTACTGGCTTTTAAGCAATTTGTCTAAGGCCTTTATGCCTGAAGCCTTCAAATTAGACTGTAGATTTTCTACTGGGATTTGTTCTGGACAGAGAACAAGAAATCAAGCACATGCCTGGAGTAGAGCTGGTGTTATAGAGATGGCACACAGTTTAAGAAGGAAGAGTCACCAAGCTCTCTGCAAAACAATCAGTTTCCTTTCCCCCAAGTAGTTTTAATTCCAGTGCAGCTGAAAGAAGCTTTCAGGTACATCTCTATTCCTCCCAGCACTGGAAAGGGAAAGTTAAATATCCCACTAATATAAACCAGAGAGTGCCATTCACTCTTGAGCCTTGCAGTGTGCCTGCAGCACAGCAGGAACACAGCACTCACCAAGCAGAGGATTCCAGTGCTTACCTAGGGGAGTAAAGAAGAGTGTTGAGGAGAAGAGAAATCCCAACACAAGTCCAATAACAAACATGCTGAGCAGGACAGAGCCAAATCTCCACCAGCTCACAACCAAGAGCAGGCCTCCAATAATTCCAGCCACTGCTGTCAAAATAAGACGCACTGAAAGAGAAGAGAAAATTCCAGCATTCTGGAAACTTCAGTTCCTGCAGAAACATGTTCAGCAGCTTTATTTATGTGCTTGTTTGGCTTTTTAAAGTGAATTTGCATGAGGCAATAAATAAAACTATCAGAATGTGCTTCATGCACTTCACTTAGATGCCAGCCTGCAGCTGGGGATGTGCTGCTGAAAGAGTGGCGGGGGGCTGGAATGGAGGCCCTGGTACTGTGTACATCAGTTCCCAGGGAGTTCAGGTGGCTACAGCTACTGCTCATGTATCAAAAATGAATTCTACAAGATGGGACAGACACAAAGAACTAATTCTGTCTAGTCTAACAAGCTGGGCACAGACCATCTACTTCCATTTTACAGATAAACCTGCATTTGATCTGAAACAGAGGTCCAGGCTTCGTGAAAGTAGGAAGAAAGCATGTTGTAAACTTCCAGACTTTCCAAACACCTCTTATCTTCCTTGGATAGATACTGAAATTAAATCCAGCTATTAATTACACATCGCTGTGATGCTGGAAGAAACACTTTACTCTGTTGCATTTTCAGCTATTATGACAATCAGAGCTCAGTCATCCTGCCATCATCCTTCTTGTGGCTGGCCAACAGCACAACTGAGATTGTACCTGAAGGGTTCCTAACAAGAGTTTGGGAAGAGCACAGGATATCCTGGAACATCTACTCACCATCATAACTAAGGCCAGTTACCCTTGTAATGAATACAAAGAAGATGAATGCTGCAACAATGAAGCCCATGAAGAATAAGTCTAGAGAAGAAGGAAAAAGTATTTAGCAAGTTTCATACCAAGCCCACTTCAGTGGATCTTCAAACATCTTCACATTACAATGGAGAAGGTACACAGCAGCTCACAAAAGGAGACAGAACATTTTATTCTCGACAGGGCTGTCCTCAAGCACTATAGATAGTCCAAAATTACATATTTATAGCTATGTTGCCCAGCATGCACCCTAGTTCTAGGTTTCTATTCTTTGCATCCCAGAAACTTCTGCTCTGAGCTTAAAGGCTCAGAGCCTATAAAAGAAAAGGAGCAGACCTAACTGGCACACCATCACTATCAAGTGAATCTTGGTAATAACACCACCATTCTAAGTTACACAGAGTAACATTTATGAAGTTCCAACCAGACTTAGAAGATGAGATTAAATATTCAGTACCTGTTTTCCAGAACCTGTGTCCAAAAAAGCAGGTGAAAAGACCAAGAACAGCAAAAGCAGTGAAGAATACTTTGGTAGACAGTTTACCTACAAGAAGAAAGGTAAGTTTAGTAGAGCATTCCACCTAATAGTCCCAACAAAGAGATTAAGGTAAGGTCAGGTTGCTGTCACAAGCTTTAGTGACAACTTGAGAGCTGCCACTCTGTCAGATCTGCAATGCCTGAACTAACAGTTGACTCGGTAGGATCTTCAACAGAACACTGAAATAGGCCCAGACCGATTAAGAAGTTATTTTCCATGTGCTCTGAATTAGAGAGGTTTAGCCTAGGGAATTTGTCACATTGTCATAGGACAACACTGAGTTTGACAACAGTCACTTGTGTTACAGTATATAAGAAAATAATGAAAACAAATCTTACTTTATGAACCAAATTCTACCAATTACTCATGTCCCTTCTGCATTCATAATGGGAATGGCAGCTTTGCTGTTTCTGCTCAAATTCCATCATTATATAGCTTTGTACAAAGCAGCATGACTTGGTAGCCACTCCACTACTGCCGACATTATCTTCATTTTTATTTTAGATGACTGCCTCCTTTCAAAATACCTGCAGGCAACTGATTCCGGCTAGCACCAGCACAGTTAAAAAAATCTGGCTGCTGCCTAATCTAGTCTGTGTTTTATTACCTCAACTTCACATCCAGCATCTGTAGTCCTACAAATTATTTGAAATTATGCATCCAGTTGAAATGGACAAAGTTGGATGGTACTACAGAGTTCAGAGTTACATTTGCAAGCCACATATTAAACTTCCATTAAGTTAAACCTTTAATTGCTAATGGTTCTCCTTAGTCTTACTTGATCATTCTAGATTTTCTCCTCAATCAACAAGCAGACTTCACCATAAAATAACAAAATATACACAATGTAAAACAAAGATCTCCTGCACACATTGAAAAAATAATCTTAAATCACATTCAGCACATTGGAGCACAACAGAGGAGTTGGCAAGGACATACAATTCCCAACTTACTGAGAGAAGAGCAGTTATCCACCAGGTCAGCAAAGCTGCAGGCATATGTATGCACAGGTATGTATGCAGCAGAAGTGTTCCAAAGAGGATCCTGCACTATGACATTGTAGATCACACCTTGCCCAGGAAGTGAGGAGAAGTAGACATTGGTCTTGTCATCAGCTGTCAGCGTAAGCATCTGGAAAAGGAAGTATCTGTGTTAAAGGCTCACAGGATGGAACCCTTCCCTCCAGCACCACTGTGTTTTCTGACAGGGGAAGATTCTCCCACTCCTGTTTCTCCTCCCTGCCTGAGGGCACAGCTCAGGTTCCCTACCAACCTACTGGTCCAGGTCTGGCCTCTGAGGCAGGCAAGGCTGCCATTCCACTCCTCAGCAGGGCCAGAGAGCCTGCTTATGTCTCCCCTCCATGCAGGTAAGCACAGGGGAGGAGAGAACAAGAGAGCACCACTGCCACATGGATGGTACCCCAGTGCCTGGGGCTCACCTTAATGCCGTTGGCTTTGATGCTCTGCACCCCGGACATTTTCCTTATGTGGCTCATGAGCACCATCTCGGACAGGTCATTCTCGGGCAGGAAGTACTGGTACACATCATAGCGCAGCCGCCACCGTGAGCTCTGGCCAGTCCCTGAGTCACAGGAGGGGGGGTTTGCTCCTCTGCAATGAAAAGCACATCAGCCACGTGCCCAGCACAAGGCCCCAGACCTTAACATGAGTTTCCGGCAGTTACCTGTCCACTCTTTTACCTCTACTCTTTAGAGGTGCACAGCAGCAGCTAACTCAAAGCTGGCCTGCATTTGTGAGCACAGCAGTATCACACAGAACCACCTTGGCACAGGTGGTTGGTACCTGCCTTTACACTTACAGAGGCTTCCTATGAATTGCCATAACAAGAATTCCAAGAGGCCACAACAACCAAAGACCACAATGTTACTGTTTGTCTTTCCATGCAGTTCTGAACAGTCTTCCCCACTCCCTGCCTATCACTTGTGACACCAGGCACCACTCAGGAAATAATGCTTTGAAGTCTCAAGTTAAACAAAACTCTGGGTCATTATCATGCTTTAGTACTAGTAAAGAAATAAAACTGGCTGTAACACACAATTGCTCCTCAAACAAGCTGTTACAAGGAATGGAAAGACCCAGCATTTACTGACTGCTTACATTTCTGAAATTGCATAACCTCCCCCACAAGATGCAACTCTCAACTTTTATCTCTCTCATGCAGTACCTCTTCCCCTCCTCCTTTTCCCCATTTACATTTGTTGCAGTGAACAAGATTCCTGCCAGCAGCTGGATGGTTCAGCTGTTACAGCAGGGTCTTATTTTAGCCTTGTGACCAAACACAGGACAAAAGGTCTTGCTCAGTGCACTGAAGCTTTCCACACACCTGGTATATCCCAAGTTTGCAGGGGCAAACTTGATGTGTATATCAACCAACGTGTAGTCCAGGTAAATATTTGGATCCACTTCCAAGTCAAATTCTAGATTGCAGCCCCCAGGAATAGGATCTAGAACACAGAGAAGATAAGAGCAGTTATGCACTTGCAGGCACAATCTGCTTGCTGAGCACAGAAAAACATCAGAATCTGGCTCTGTAGGCAGCAAAAGGGTTTCACTGCAGCCTGGCAGGTCTCCACACATGGGTGACTCCAGTGACTGGAGTGCTGGAATGGAAGCTCCTGCCAAGTCCTGCACATGGCTAAGGGCAATCCCAAGCACAAACACTTGTGCTGGGTGGGGAATGGATTGAGGGCAGCCCTGACAAGAAGCACTTGGGGATGTTGGCTGACCAGAAGCTTGACATGACCCAGCAACGTGTGCTCACAGCCCAGACAGACACCAGCATCCTGCATGCAAAGAGCAGTGGGCAGCAGGGCCAGGAAGGGAGGTTCTGCCCCTCTGCTCTCCACCCCAACACAAGAAGGATGTGGACCTGCTGGAGTTAGTCCAAAGGAGGACCATGGAGACGACCAGAGGGATGGAGCTCTTCTCCTATGAACAAAGGCTCAGAGTATGGGTTGCTCAGCCTGGAGAAGGCGCTGTGGAGACCTTTCCAGCAGCCTCCCCATACCTGAAGGGAGCCTAAAGAAAGATGGAGAGAGACTCTTGACAAGGCCCTGGAGTGACCTGACAAGAAGGAATGGCTTTAGCTGAAGAAGGGTAGTTTTAGACTGGATATGAGGAAGAAATTCTTTCCTGTGAGGGTGCTGAGGTCCTGGCACAGGCTGCCCCGAGAAGCTGTGGATGCCCCTGGATCCCTAGAGGTATCCAAGGCCAGGCTGCATGGGGATCTGTCGAACATGGGATAGTGGAAGGTGTCCCTGCCCACGGCACGGGGCTGGAACTGGATGTTCTTTATGGTCCCCTTCCAATCCAAACAGGTTGGTGATTTCATGATCACATGCACAGCAGTTTTCTATTCTAAGGCTTAAGTCATGGCAGGACCATAGAGTACATCCTATACACAACTCACAATTCAGCAGTGACAATAAAAACTTTTTCAGCCCATTTCAAAAGAATTTCTGGTATCTCCATCAGATTTCCACCATGTAAGACTGAAAGATCAACACTCCATTCCCAGATGACTCGCCTGAGCAGAGCTGGTTTCCCCTGAGCACGTACCTTTCTCCATGTAGGGAATGGAGATGGCAGTGCTGAGCACCTGGCCAGCACGCAGGGCACGCAGGTACCACGTACACACGGTCTGCTCAGGGCGAAGGATGGACACCAGCCCTTTGTCTACCCCAACTCCTGAGCTGTTCTCCGACGGAGTCTGCACAGAAACAAGTTACAGAAACAAGCAGTTCCTCTTGAGAAGATTTCTATCACAGTTTGATAATATTTCTGTATTTTGATAATATCACAGGAGGCTATTCCTGCCACAAACCTACCAGGCACACACATCGGTACCAGTTACAACAGATCAGGCTCTGCCCAAAATGTATTTGTGCTTGAAATTGTCCAGCTCCACATGCAGGACCTTGCACTTGGCCTTGCTGAAGTATATGAGGTCTGCATAGGCCCACCTCTCAATCTGTCAAGGTCCCTCTGGATGGCATCCCTAGCTGGTGAAAAAAGGGAGCTCTGACACCACACACTGCCTGGCCCAGGCTCAGAGACACAAGTGGTAAGTGTGGGACTACTAAAGAGCTGACAATCACAAGCAAGTTGCAGAGAAATCTAGCTAGTAGTTCTGGCAATGGATTGACCAGCAAAAATGTAAAAATGTTGTGAGATGGCAGCAAGGAAGTGTTTTGGAACCAGCACTTCCTATCTCCACCAGAACAGAGATGACTGTATGACAGCTGCCTTAACACCAACAGTGCCAAATGCTTTTGGGGCCAGGCCAAAATTTAGGTTACTGACCCAATCCTCAGCATCACCATCCCTTCCAGAACCAGGGCTCTTGAGGAAAGATCAGGCAGCAATGACAGTATCACAGCTTCACAGCTGGAACAACCAGCCGACCTGCAGCCACATTTTCAGCATGGAAAGTGCCTTTGGCCAAGGCAGCCACAGTTACCTGAGGCAACGTTGTAAGGAAGCACACTGGACCTGGCAGACTTCAAGGTCTGGCTCAAGTTCATATTTCTAGAGGCAGGCCAGCCCTAAAAGCAGTACAGCTGCATTTATGCATCACTGCCCTTGGCCTGGTAAAGCCCATGAATGCAAAGAGGATTTGAACTGGCTGCAGAGGATGCTACCAAAGGCAAGCAAAGACTGAACAGGTCTAACAGTAATGCCTCAGCCCTGTAACGCTGGCTGTTTCACCACTACAAGGATGGCTGAGCTGGGCGACTTGTGTTACAGGTCATTCATTAAGCTTCCCAGGATACTTCTTGGCACTCAGTACATTCTGATTTGAAAGATGTTGGTGGAGAGAGGGGAACTGGATTGCAGCTGCCAGACCTCCATCTAACCACCTTCAGCTTAGTCAACGTTCTGTTCAAATATCAAATATCAGATGCCTCCCAGCATCACAACAACGAAAATCAGTATTTTAGATTAGGCTCATCTTGTCCCATCATTACTGGGATGCAGGGTATAGCAGCAGGGATGTTTTTATTCCTGTCTAGAAGTAGGAGCTTTCACTGGAGTACGTGGAGGAATTTCTCCATGTGTTACCAAAGGAGAACTAGATTCAGGACAAGGAGCTGGGATAACAACACATCCTATCTGCAGTGGTTCAACCCAAGCCATGGGAACAGCAGATAACTAAACATCCCAAAGTGATCGTGTATGGGGCATCTGGCAAACACTTACACAGATCTGGTTTTAATATAACAAGCTGATGGACAACAGTCAGTAGAGTCACATGACAAAAGCATCACTTCCACCAAATAAAGAGCCTTGAAAGATTTTGCCTTCAGCATTCAGTCATAGCAGCTATGACATATAAGTACAAGAAAGGATTTCTGAAGCTACAGTAACACTGTCTAAAAGCCAAGCAGGTAAAAGACACTCTATTTATACAGCTTCAGTTCAATAGTCCTACATGAAGCAGAGCCAAGTCCTTTGTTGAAAGGGAGGCAGCACTCAACAGAAGTGACACTCTTACCTTATCAAAGGATATCACCACATCACTCTGCTGGGCATGCACTTGAAAAATAACCACAGTCACATTGCTGGCAATGTTCCTGATTACAGCCTCCACTGGACTGGTCTGGTTAAGTAGCACATTTCTGAATTTTCCCAAGGAGAGCTCAAGAAGACCTGCAGTATGAAAAAAAAGGAAGATACAGGGTTTTTTTTGGTCCAGAGGGAAACAATTACGAGGGAAGCCTGGAAGTTTCCAGTAGCCCAGTATTAGTCAGCTGGGAGCAGAGCAGGATATTACTTTGTGCTGCTCTCATCCTGTGAGCTGTACCATTCTTTCAGAGACTGCTGCACACAGAGCTGTACCTGCAGATACAGGCACAGCCAGGGTACCTGCCCTGCAGCCTGGCACTCACCTGAGCACAGGGACAGGGCTTCCTGCCACAAGTCAGGATTTGATACAGCTGAGATCACCAGCCCAGCCAACCAGCCACCTATACTCCAAAAAGTCAGTAAAGGAAGATACTGAGGACTGCCTGATCTTTGGCAGATACAGGCATACTGATACATGTTTGTATCAGCCAGCCAACTTGCACAATAGCCATCAGACCTTCCAGATGAATTCCTACACACCATGAGAATTGGAGTCAAGTTCCAGAAGACAGAGTCAAATCTGTAGTTTACATACATACACTTACCCACTTTCAGCTATTCCATGTTTTTTGCTGCCAAATGGTTTTAATCATTAGGACTGCTGCATCCCCATCTCTAGACCTAAAACTCTGCCTAATTTTTCCTGGACACAACCTAGACCATTTCTTCTTATAATGAACATTAACCCCATGATCCACTGTCATTTTAATTTAAAGAGAACCACATGACCTAGGATATAAGATCTTTGAGAATAAGCTTTGGCTTGTCATTCAGGTCCTGCAAGCAAGCCTGGCTTCTCCCTGTGCTGGGTTCTGCAGGGACAGGGGATGCCAAGGGAGGAAAACAAAGCAGCCACACAGAAGCCACAAATGTTCTTTGGTTGATGGCTGCAGCCAGACTGCACAATGCCTTCCAGGCTTTTCCCTGAATTCCTCTGCCTGCCTCTGTACCCAAACAGAGCTAAAACTTACCAAGCCTGAACACACACACTTCTTCGATGAAGTTGCCTCTGGTGGAAGGGGCTGGTACTGCCAAGTTCCCTAACAGTCACCAGCAGCACCATCCCAGGGACACTTGCTGGTGACACAGGAAGGCTCCCATTCACAAGGGAGGGGACAGTTTTCTTACCTGAAACTATACCCAGAGTACTCTCTGGCTGCTTTCCTGTTACTTTTCTCTTTCTCCTGCCAAGAACTGGCATCATTAGCCAGTGTCTTTGCTTCTTGATATGTAAATAGAGGGGAGCTCCCGCCCTCATGCCTCCTCTACTCTATACAGTGGAGGGAAGGAACTTCAATCCTTACCTGCTCACTTCCAAAATTCAATCAATACCAGTACTGCATCACCAATAAAACCTCAGCTAAAATACAGGAGGTCATAAGCCACTTGTGAGGGAAGAAAGGTTCTCCATTTTTCTGCTCCATCGTCTGCAGTTTGTGTTAAGGTAGAAGTTTCTACAGTAAATTTTCACCAGAAAATTTCTACCAGAAATGCAAGTAGTGGTATGAATGCTAAAGAAAAGCATTCAGAAGGCACAGACTATAGATTTGTCCATTCAGAAATTTACAGCAAAAGCTTACAATGCAGGAAAAATATTTTTTCTTTGCTCTTTAAAACCTTCAGCAGAGCTTCCTGATCCAGAAGACATTCACACTTAGATGCTCTTTCAAGAAAAAAGCTGAAACCATACACATTCTCTGTGTGATCTACATCAAGGGAAAAAAACTGCATTGCTCCACCTTGTTTCTCACCTCCACTCCGTACCCATACCCAGGGGCCTCTGCATAAATAAGGACAGATTTGTCAGCAGTCAGTGTGATCATGAGACTCTGAATGTCAGAGGCACTCTCTCAAGTTTAATTAGCATGGTGAATTAAGGTATGGCGTTCTATATTGCTTTACTGTTTGCATAACTGCTCTGAGAACAGCACATGTGATACACATTATCCCAAAGTCTGGGCACAAGAGGCTCAGTGTGAAGAACAAGAACATCACAAAGTATTGCTCAGCTTGCTGTTCACAGGCTCCTCAAACCACACTTCCAGCCAGGCCTAAAAGATGACAAGCACTGCAAAGGAACAGAACCTTCTAAAAAGTTTTTGGAAGAGCAATTGCTCACAGCCACAGACCACAGCACCCTTCCAGCCTTCTCTATCTCTGTCATCTGAACAAGTCACTCCTGCTGCACTGAGACAGAAAGGGAAGATGCTGAGCAAGACTAATTGACTAAATTATCAACTCACAGTTCACCGGTTCTATTACTATTCCCAATTCTCTGTTTCTAGTACCAGACAGGTATTAGACTTCCTGAGCCATAGAGAGCTCAGTCTTGTCAAACATCCTTAAAAGGACAGGCACAGAGACCTCCATGACCACACAATGCGACACAGCATGCAATCTTCTCCTTTGGACAAGCTCCCTCTGCCTGGAGGTGGCCCACCAGACAGGTCTGCAGGACCAGCAGCACAGTTAACACCACCTCACAAGTGAGAGAGTTGATCCAGCAAGTCAGCAACAGACAGGAGCAAAATCCAGGCATCCCAGCTTGTTTTATTGCTTCCAACAGTGAAGGTCTGGGAGCACTCTAAAGTGCCAGGCTACCCCTCTTCCTTGCCCTGTAGGAAGAACTGTAACACTCACTGAACATGAGAGTAATTTTGGGTTAGATACGTGAGAGGAACCCAAACTACTACAGAGTTTATCAACTGAACAGATGCTCAAAGGAAGTCAGCGTTGCTGAAACCGAGCAGCAGCAGAGCAGGGATCGAGCACTGAGCATGTATTACTCCATACACAGCACCAGAACTGGAGCACAGCTAGTCCTGCATACAGAGCTGCTGAACAGAGCAAACAGCCCACTCTGTCACCCCACACTATCTTTTCTCTTACATGGAAGGCAGAACCTCCTGGACCTCTTCTGAGATCAAAAGTCCTTATTCCTAACTTTAAACAAGACAATCAACTCCAGAGCCTCTGCACTTGTTATCCCTTCCCTGTGACACACAGTTTCCCCAACAGGCTACACCCAGCTTGAACCGTTTCCACTGTGCTGATTCAGTGCCAAGCTCTTGGCTCCTCTGTTGCTTTGAGTAAACCACATTTCCAGCTCAATAGCTAAATGTCACTGCCCACCACCACGGAGCAGTTAACCACACAGGGCTCTTGATTACACCTGGCACAACTGAAGAAATGCCACTGCTGCCCAAACACAAGTCTTCATCTACAGAGCTACGCTCAAACATGATGCTTGCCTCAGAGAGGTTCTGTGCAGTCAGACAAAACACATTTCTACTGGTGCCAAGCACCTTGCAGTGGATATGCAGAACAACCTGATGTAAGCAAGCTCCAGGAGCTAAGGAGAACTTTCCAATGCAGGGAGTACAACAACAAGTAGTCACATGAAGACATTTAATGAAGACGAAGTGCAAGCTCAGACTGACAACCAGTTTGAGTAAGAAAAACATTAGCATACAGTTACTTAACAGAATAAAGCCTGGAGCCATATCCTATCAGACCTGTAAGGCCACGCAGACAGGGATGATGGGAGAGTCCAGCTACAAGGTCTCCGTCTTCCCACACTACTGAATTCCCCCAAAAATACAGCACCTACCCCATGCGCAAAAGAAGCAGGAACATTTCTGAAAGTTTCTGAACTTTGATTGTGCGTGTACTGAGACTCCATGCTTAGAACAGCTTGATGCTTAAAGCAGATGACGCCACAGAATGGGGCTTGTCAGCATCTGCACCATTCCCATCCCAGAGGGCTATTCTATTCACCAGGCTAGAGGTTTTTACAGCCTGAAAAGTGAGGGAGTTTTGTGTGAACTCCTTATTATAAAGTATCGTCTCTGCATAGACTAAACAGTTGGCACAAACACGTTTCACCCAGATAAACTGCCTTTACAAAAGCACTGCTCAGTCCTTATTACACTATAAATTCACTTTAGTTTTTCCAACACTACACAGCCCGGTTTGGATGTAGCAAACACAGCCAGTTGAACTCCTTCCTCCTCAGGAAGACAGAGCTCCCTGGAAGGCAACAAATACAATGTATAAAACACTTCTGCACAAAAACCAAGTCTGAGGAACTGCACCCTATCAGAAGCCCAGCGAGGTAACACAGGCCATCGTAAAAAGATTTTACCAATAAGCACTTTTAAAATGAAGCAGGGATCTTCAAGGATTAGGAGTTAGCAGAGCCCATCCCTGCAAAATGGGTGTCCACAACTGAATAACTACAAGACAATTTCAAATCAGTGAACCATTAAGCAAATGGCCTTGTTTAAAGGCCCTACTGATCAGCTAGACTCTGGTACACAAATTACACAGCTTATTGGCTTCTCACAAGGGAAACACTTTCCCCCTCCACCCTCAATCGTGCAAGGAAAAGCAGCAACAGGGTACTTCAAGGCAAAGCAGTTTGTTTAGTCTCATAGCTGCTTTGCCTTTCTAAATATTGTAAAAAAATTACTCAACACATGACCCATTTTCATCAAGTCCAGGAGACAAACTGCTTGTTAGCATTCTTTAAGATAATCATTGAGGTCTAAGAACCCTGAGCCTTCATTCTCACACCTGCTTGCCATCAGGTGCCAGCCAAAGCTTTTAAGTCCTGCAAGAAACAGGGAATACTTGGCTCTCCATTAGGATCTTGGGCATGAGACTTGGGCAGAGAGAAGCCTTCCACACCAATGGTTCCAAAAGCTGTCCTGCAGCCCTGCAAAGTATCCAAAGAGTCTCCTTCGGGACAATTAAGCTTCATTCATTCAGGACCAGGTTGGGTGGGACAATGAGCAACCTGGTCTAGTAGAAGGTGTCCCTGCCCATGGCAGGGGGTGTTGAAATGGGATGAGCTTTAAGGTCCCAAAGCATTCTATGATTCTGTGGTTAGAAGCAAGTGTAAAAAGACAGCAAAACTAACAGAAGGAGGCTTATATCAACCCTAATATGAAGGACAGCTTGCTTATCTCTGAATTATCTCTGAGAGGAAACTGTTTATTTTTTCCTTTATTTGAACAGATAAGAGTTTAACCAGAAAAAAAAAAAAAAAAAAGTTACTGTAAATCTTCCCAAACTATGCTTAATATAGCACACTTAACTCTGGACTCCTATTTCAGTCATATGCAGGAATACAAGGAAACTACAAAAAAAACTATGCCAAATAAAGTCAGATTGCATCAGTACGGACAACAAGTAACTTTAGGAATCAAGCTGCAAATTGTAGGTTTTGCTCCTTTCCCTAGTTTTATACTGATAGTTGTTTTCAACCCACCATCCGCCAGGGTGGTGGGAACCCATGACCACCTGTACGTGGTAGGGGGGGAAATATCCAAGCAAACAAAACCAAAACTGGTTTTAACCTCGTTCCCTTTGTCATGTAAACTCGTGTTCATAGCTAGCGAATGCCACCTTGTTTCTGTACCGGGAATGCAACCCTACACCAGCCGCATCAGCTGTACCGCATCCCCGCAACAGCGCGGTTCAAATGATTCCGAATTAGCCATGAAACAGTTAAAATTATAGCGTTCACAGCAATTAAGGTATAAACAAACAAAAAAAAGCGGATAGGGAGGGAAAGGGGGGGAAAAAAAGAGGGTGGTTCTCCTTGTCTGCACGGAAGATTAAGACAACTATGAATACACAGAGCGCTTTTGGAGCGCCGCAGGCAGCTTTGCTCCGCACTCCTGCTCATCCCTCGGGACAGCGGGGACACCCCAAAAGGCTGTACAGCCGCAGCAAGCCACTGCCGCTGGACATTCCCCCGGGCACAGCCCCGCAGTTCCCGGTACGAGCCGGGCTCCTCCGCCGCTTAATGGCGGCCAGAGCCCCGCACACCCCCCGCCCCGGCTCACACCGCCCTCACCTGAGGCTCCGCCATGGCGCAGGACCCCCACCAGCAGCAGGAGCAGCGCAGGGCGAAGCGAGACCCGCATGGCGCTGCGGAGGGAACGGGGAAAGGGGGCTGAGGCCGGGGAAGGGCCGGGCGGCTGGGGCGGGCCGGGCGCTGGGGGCGGGCGCTGGGGGCGGGCCGCAGGCGGGGCAGGGTTCACTCCCGCCCCCTCAGGCACCAGCGGGAGGGCAGGGAGGAAAGGTTTGGCCGTGGGAACTCCTAAAAATGCACCGAGGGGTTTGGACGGCCAGTTTGGGACTTGGGGCTTAACTCCGGAGTGTGAAGAGACCCCACCTGCCAGCTACGGGAGCAAGCAAACAAAATCCTCATCCAGCCGGGCCGTGGGGAAAACACTTCGGGTGGATTAGTTTGTATCGTTGCTGCACTCACAGCATAAGTGACAAGACTACAGAGGGGTTATTTACAAAGGCATGTAGTGACGGGATAAGAGAAATGGCTTCAAACTGACAGAGATGAGGTTTAGATTGGATCTTAGAAGAAATTCTTCTCTGTGAGGGCGGTGAGGCCCTGGCACAAGGAAGCTGTGGCTGCCTCATCCCTGGCAGCGTCGAAGGCCAGGCAGGACGGGGCTTGGAGCAACCTGGGATAGTGGAAAGTGTCCCTGCCCATGGCAGGGGGTTGGAAAGAGATGATCTCTAAGGACCACCTGGGAGAAGGCTGGCATTGTACCCAGCTGTCAGAGATGAGAAAGACAGGCACAAACCGACTGGCACAAATGGCGTTTATTCTTCAACCCCTGGGCTCGGAGGCTGAATGCTGGCTCTGATCTGGCTTGTTGTGAACACTACACTCTGGCTTTTCTGTGCTCAGATCGCGGCTGGAGTGGAGCACCCGACCACTCCTGCAGCCTTCAGCTGGGATCAGAGCAAAAGCTGCCTAGGCCGTGGCAGTAACGGAATCACTTAGGCTGGAAAAGACCTCTGAGATCATCAAGTTCAACCTGTGACTGAACACCACCGTGCCAAGCAGACCATGGCACCGAGTGCCAAGTCCATCGTTCCTCGAACACCCTCAGGGACGGTGACTCCAGCCCGTTCCAAGGCCGACCCGCCCTCGCTCGGAGCGGATTCTCCCTGGTGTGCAGCCGTTCCTCCCGGCCGGCAGGCGGCGCCCGCGCCCCGCGGGCCCGCGCCTCAGGGGCAGCAGCGGCGGCGGCGGCGCGGCCATGGCGGACCGGCTGACACAGCTGCAGGACGCCGTCAACTCGGTGAGGCGGCCGCTGCCTCCGCTCTCCCGGGGCCGCGGGGCACGGCGCGGGCTGCGCCGCCTGTGCGGGGATGCGGAGATGCGGCCCTCCAGCCGGGGGAACGGCCGCGGGTGTGGGGATACATGGCGGGGATGCTGGGCGGGCGGGGGTGCGCCGTGAGGCGGAGGTGGCTGTAGCGGCGGGGCAGGGTGATTAACGCGGTGTTAATTGGTGGCGGCAGCTCGCGGACCAGTTCTGTAACGCCATCGGAGTGCTGCAGCAGTGCGGCCCCCCGGCCTCCTTCAGCAACATCCAGACGGCCATAAACAAGGACCAGCCCGTGAACCCCACGGAAGGTGAGCCCGGCCGCCTGCGCCTCCTACACGCGAACGGGCTTCGGTGCAGCGCGCTCCGAATGCAGGACCCGGCCTCGGCAAATAACTGCCCTCGTAGCTGGTCGGGTGATGGAGGATAAGTCGTGAATGGATGTCGGCTGCATTTTCTGAATAATATTGTGACAGCAGAGTTGTGGTTGTTTCTAATAATTCCGGTAATTCCCTGAGTGATTGATTGCCTGAGTTGCGCTGTGTTTTGTGCAGAGTATGCCCAGCTGTTCGCAGCCCTGATCGCTCGCACTGCCAAGGATATCGATGTTCTCATAGATTCCCTGCCCAGTGAAGAATCCACAGCAGCTTTGCAGGTAGGAGTTTTCCCAATTCCAGTATCAGAACATTCCTGAAGGCAAAATTCCTTCCTTTTTTTAAAACACGTTTTTTCATCTCTAAGTCATGTCGTCATTGAAAAATTATTTTAATACAAACCTGAATTTTTCATGAGGGTAGCCTATGAGTACTTTGTAGGCTTAGTGGAAATACTGAACTTGCATCTAGTTCTAAATAAGATTTTAATCGATGACAATATTTTAGACTTAGTTTTCTGTTAAAATGTGAAAAGAAAAAAAGGTCGTTTTATCACACCACCACTATACTGGAAACTGCTCACCCTTTTTTTCAGATACTGACAAAACAGATGGAACAGTACTGATGCTTTGTGCATTGTTTTATTCATTTTTTCCCCCTTGGGTAATATTTCATATTTTCTGACATTTCATTTTGTAGCTGCAGAGCCAACACTACAGAAGTCTTTTGTTCTTTCACACTGTTTCTAGTTAAAGAGTTTGTAGGGTGTCCTTTAAGTTCTTCAGCTCTGTCACAAAATAATTTCATCACTTTTCAAAAACAAGGAGTCTTCCTTTTTTTTTACTCTTAATGTCTGTATTTATATCAAGTATTTTTTTAAATGCATAAAGGATGCAGAGTGCTGTTTCCCTGACAAACCTGATGATCACCTTTAAGATCACCTGAAAGTTTTAAACCTGCATTGACACTCTGTAACCATTCGAAAGTGCTTTACAAAAGATTGACACCGAATGGGCCAAAGAGAAATGACTTGGCAGTGGCATCACGTTTGGTTTTAAACAGAGGAGGTTAAATTTGGGAACTTTGCTAGTCACAGTAATTGCTGAACATCCTAATTGGGCTCGTTAGCACTAGCATAATTTCCTGTAAGTGCATTTTTAATACTGAAGATAAAATGCCTTCTGCAGACAAATTCCAGTTTCTTCTATGACTGAGCAGCATCCTATCAAAGTGGCAGTGGTGTGGGCAAAGCAGGGTGCTCCAGAAGGAGGAGCTGGTTATCCAGTAGGGATATGCTTTCCTTAGAGGTGATACTTCAACAGTTTCTTGCTGTCTTTATGAAGAACTTCTGATACTTTCTGTCTGGTGTGGTTTTAAGTTAAATTAGCTTGGATTCCATCACTTGAATTCGAGTTTTGATTTTTATTTTCTGTTGCTTAATTTGGTGCAGTATTAAATATTCTGCTAGTGAAATGGTGTTGAAGATGCTTGAAACGCTTTCAAATATGCACTATAGGTTTTGTTGAGAAGTGGTAGATAATACTTGGTTAATAGAAATGTACTTAGGCTGATCTGCTTTTTTAACACTAAGCTTATCTTGCTGTATGTTTCAGATCTGAGTCTTGTCTTAAATGATAAAAGGAGCTGCTACACAAATGCTTAACACAATTTACCCTCTTTGAGTTCCCTTTTGGTGAAGCTGACAGTAAAAATTCTGCTCTAATCCGTGAATTAGTTGCAGTCAACTATTAAACAAGAGAACCTTTCTCTTTTGGGGGAGCACCAGCTGTTCCCTCAGCATCCTTGAGTAGCAAAGTCACTTTAGTGTTCTGTTGAAGATCCTTGCTTTTCCCTGTTGCCTAATATCAAAAGAGGAAACTCTTGCAACAGTGTAAAAATAGTAAAAAAAAAAAAAAAAAAAAAGCAGGCCTTTATTGGAAGCTTCCAGGTGTCCCAATGGTCATGGGCACACCCAGCATCAGATTCCTACGATTTTATGAGTTTAACAAATTAGCATACCTAATAAATACTGTCCAATAATTAGAAGGCTAGTTGGTTAGCTGGTTTTCCCTGCGTTCTACCACATTGGAGTTGTTTCAGGGGCTTCTTTGCCCCATTTCTTGTGTGTTCTCCGATTCTGGTTGGAAAACAAAACGTCCTGGTCAGGCTTCTTCATAAAAATGAGACTAAACAAAATTCCAAGTATGCATTAGAAGGGTTAGCTTATTGTTCTAGAGGGAAACAGTAGGAAAAACACTAGGACTGTGTGATAGTAGCATGTAGAGCTACGAATATGTGAAAACCTTTGGGCATCATCCCGGTTTTGCTTTGAAGGCTGAGAGCCTGTACCGGCTGGAGGAGGAGAACCACGAGGCGGCGGCGCGGCTGGAGGAGGTCGTGTACCGCGGGGATGTTCTGCTCGAGAAGATCCAGAGCGCCCTGGCCGACATCGCCCAGTCGCAGCTGAAGACTCGGAGCGGCACCCACAGCCAGCCCCTGCCCGACTCGTAGCGCCAGGGGGCAGCGCGGCCCTGCCCGAGAGCCTCGGGAACGCCTCTGGATACTCCGGCAATGGATGCGCTGGCCCGGCCCTTCCCCGGGGCTGCCCCGCGCTCTGCTCCGCGTCGGGAGCGGCGCCTTTGGCAAAGCTCGGCTGCGGGTTTTGTGTGAGAAACGCTTCTACAAGGCTCTGTTCCGGATCTGCGTGGATTGATTTGTGTTTCCTTGACTTAAAACGAGCTTTCTGCTCACAAATACGACTTCAGTTGAATTTGTTACATATTAGAAGTATTTGTATAAGTTAATCCCACTATGGTATGTTTTCTTGTAAACCGCAGACACACGTGAATGCTGTGAATGCAGTGATGGTCGTCTGTTCTAATTAACAGCACTGGTAATGTTGATTGGCTGGTTTACCACCCTTTACAGGGCATATGAAAGGCATTGGCATTACAATTACAAAGTAATAAACCTGCAGGTGTCTGATATTGACTTTATTATATTTGTAATTCACAAATGAGCCTTTGAGTTCATTGTTTCCACTGACACTTGCTCTTGCTTGTGCTATTTCTCTGCTTTTGCTGATATTCTATATTCAACTGGTGAGTGCCTCTGAAGCAGGCAGTGATGAGGAAGCATTGGATGACTGGATAAAAATCAGCAGTGAGAAAACTGAAAATAGCTTATCATATAAAGTTGCTTTTCAGTATAAGCAGTGGCTGCCATATCAATGCTGTGATCATAAGCAGCAAGATTCCTGTTGTCCCCAAGGTGCTCTGCAGAGGTGTTTTTATCTTCACACACTTGATCACAGAATGAATTTTTGCTCTTTGTGGTAGGACTACAGAAATACTAGTGTCTCTTTTGATATTTAAAATAAAATCCCAACGCTCAACCAGCAGCTAATGTAGGGTTCAAAGCATGAATTTGGGGTTGAACTTGGTCGTTTTGTGTTTTGAGTTACCAGCCTTGTTATTGCAGGATGTTATTTGTTGCCACATAAGATCTCATTTCCGGATCAAAGCCACCTGTTTCTATATATTGAATACATTGTCATTGACTTGAAAGTTACACACGTTGCTAACACATCCAGACACATTAGAGCAATTCAAAAATACCTTAAGCATGCTGATCCTTAAGGAATTAGATGCAGACTCTCACTTGACTGCCCCAGTGAAAGAACAAGTGTAGCACAGCACAGTGTTTTGAGGATTAAAGAAGTCAAAGGTGTTCCTCAGCACCTCTACCTCTAACAAATACTAAAACTGGAAGTACTTAATAAGACTGATGTTTCATTGCTTAATAATATTTTATGAAATGTGCATATCTGTGACCATAAATTTAGTCTGCTGTTGTGAAACTCATGTACTATCAGATTTTGCAGAAGGAAAAAATGATTGGAGAGTGAACAAGCTACAGTACAGCCCCAGGCCTATGGCAGTTTATCAAGCCACATGTCCTTTATTTATTTTGCCCATGTCCTGGGAAGGCTTGAGAGGCCAGACTTTCATTTGAAGTCGGTTCTGGGGCCTGTTTTTTTGTTTTTCCTGAAAAACTACATCCAGTACATCTCAAGATGGTTAGGATTAGGGTGTAGTGAATTTTTGCTGTCAGCCTCGTTTTTGAATTAGTGGACTTAGAAAGAGGAAAAAGTTTGAGCTTTGTGGATTTCTTTTTTTTTTTTTATCTGAGATGTCTTAAATTGAGATTTTTATGTTGCTGGAAAAGGAATTTGATCTTCATAGTAGATTCCCTGTTACAGCTTAACATGTGCATCACCTCACACTTGTTAACTTGGGAATTGTGGGAGACAGTGTACATCTTCAGGAACCACAGTTCTTTTCATTTCATAACCTTCTATTTTTTTATACTTGAAAACTGCTCTATTTCTGTAGCCTGATACTGCCTAACTGTGGAAGCTCTTCTAGTTGTGTTTAAACATCAAACAGATTTACTTGGAAGTAAACCTTAACCAGAGGTATAAATAAGTTCCCTCATAACTATGTTCCATGTTTCAACACTCCAGCTGTTGTAGATCTTCAGCTGCTCTTTCACAGTCTGCAGCTTGGTCAGCAAAGTGTGTATGTTCTGTTGGGTCTGACACAACAGAGGAGGGAAAACACTGATTGCTGCAGCTGTTTAATGGACAAAGCATTAGATTGGGGCCTGGAGATGTGAATTCTGTTGCCCTTTATCATGTGCTGATTTGTGCAGCTGCTGTTATTGGGGTTTGAACATCTGTGTTCAGAACACACTGTGTAATGGTAGTGATCTCCTTGTATTCGGGCAAGAATTGTAGGGCATGCAGGATTCCAGGGTCTGGGTCATTTATAACACTCCTACTTTCGGTGTATTAGAAAAAGTGGGGGAGTCACAGAATCAGAATGGAATGAGACCTCATCTCATTCCAGCCCCCTGCCATGGGCAGGGACACCTTCCACTATCCCAGGTTGCTCAGAGCCCCATCCAGCCTGGCCTTGGACACTGCCAGGGATGGGGCAGCCACAGCTTCTCTGGACAGCCTTGCCAGGGCCTCACCACCCTCACAGGGAACAATTTCTTCCCTCATATTCAATCTAACCCTGCTCTCTGTGAGTGTGAAGCCATTGCTCCTTGTCCTGTCACTCCAGGCCCTTGTCAAGAGTCTCTCTCCATCTTTCCTGTGGGCTCCCTTCAGGCACTGGAAGGCCACAGTGAGGTCACCCCAAAGCCTTCTCCTCTCCAGGCTGAACAATCCCAATTCCCTGAGCCTTTTCTCCCAGCAGAGCTGCTCCATCCCTCTGATCCCTTGGTGTCCCTGCTCTGTCGTGGCTCCAGCAGCCCCCTGTCCTTGCTGTGCTGGGTGCAGCCCTGCAGGGGGGTCTCAGCAGAGCGGGGCAGAGGGGCAGAATCCCCCCTCCCCTGCTGCCCTGGGGCTCTGGGTGCAGCCCAGCACAGGGGGGTTCTGGGCTGGGGCAGGGCCAGCTCTCACCCACAGCACCCCCAAGCCCTTCTGCCAGGGCTGCTCCCTCTGCTCATCCCCAGCCTGTGTGGCATTGTGTTTTCCCTGAGAAGCCTTGACTGCTTCCCAAATTTTAATACCAGAGAGAGGGAGGCAGGGCGGGGAGTGGGGGGGAATAAAGCAGACACAGCAGCTGGTAACAAACGTATCATATTACCTTCCAGAGAGTTGTGAAAGGAAACTTTGGTTGAGACAAGGGAATTGATGGAGGTAGAGCACATGGGAAGAAAACCAAAGTGTTGAGCAATGGTTCTGCGTGTTCTGTTGGACAAGGAGTAATGCCCAGTGAACAAATTGTGCTTTGAAGAAAGATAGTACAGAGCATAATGGAAAATTCCATTGAAAAACAATCTCAGCCACTTCAAATGAGCGGGAGCATCTCACACTGGGAATCCATACAGCCCACTGGCAAAGATGTTGGAATCAATTTAGCAAACATAAGCAACTGATCAAAGCCTAGTCTTCTTTACTATAAACAATCATGCTTGGAGGAAAGGAACACCTCGCAGCAGCTGTTCTCTTTTTCAGAGACAAGAGTACAGAGAAATTCGTACACTTGTTTTTAAAGGAAAAGTGCATTAACATTACTTTAGCTTAATGTCTATATAGAGTTAATCTTGGCTTTTACTGTAGATGACCTTGGAAGACCTGGGAGCTTCTGCTGTATGTGGATTGTGGAAAGTGTCTTGGCCATCCTCGTGGACTTGATACCAAAAGATTCTGTATTTTCAATAATACAGGCCAGAGACTGGCAGGCTGGAGAGCAGCTCTGCTCAGAGGGAGCTCAGGCCTTGGCACATGGCAGGCTGAGCATGAGCCAGCAGCTGGCCCTGGGAATACAACGGGCCAGCAGCATCCCAGGCTGTGTTAGGGGGAGCACAGCCAGGAGATGGAGGAAAGGGATCACTTCCCTATGTTCAGCACATATTGGAGTGCACCTGGAACATTCCCGACAGCTGTGGGCCCCCAGGGTCAGCATGGGCTGGAGCACATCCCCTGTGAGAAGAGGCTGAGGGAGCTAGGCTGGAAACAGGAATGGTTTGGGACACCTAAGAGCAGCCTGCCCATGGGATGGCTTTGGGACACCTAAGAGCAGCCTGCCCATGGGATGGCTTTGGGACACCCAACAGCAGCCTGCCCACACCTATGGGGGCTTATGAAAAAACAGGGCCAAACTGTTCACAGTGGTGCTTGGCAGAAGGAGGATGATGGTGGACAGAGATAGGAACACCAGAGGTTCAGAGTGGTCACAAGGAAAAGCTTTTTCAACATCAAGACAAGTAAATTTTGCAACATGGTCCCCAGAGAAGCTGAAAATCCTGGGAGGTTTTTCAAGACTGTTAAAGCTCTGGCCAGCCTCATTTGACCTCACAGCTGACTGACCTCTGCTCAGGAGGGTGGAATTAGACTCCTCCTGAGGTCCCTTCTCTTGATCCTGTGATACAAGGCATACTCACAGCTTCACAAAGAACCAACGAAGTGTTAAGGAATGTTGTGTCCCCGTTATAGAAAGGCAGATCTGGAGGGCAGAAAACTTGAGGTATCTCATATCAGCCTCATTCCTATTGATGAGACTTTGTGATGTGTTGGGAGGGCACTGAGTTGACCTTATGTGTGGTGTGAAATTCCACGCTGTAGCGACCCAAGTTTCCAACAGGTGCCCTTGGAGAGTGTGATATGCAAAATCCACATCCTACACTAAGAGAAAATTGATCTGTCAGATGATGCTGACTCACTGTTAGACAAAGGCAGACTCCTCTACAGAAAGAAATTGTATTTGTATTTTACATAGCTTGTTATATAGAGTTACATAAGAAATAATAAAAGCCCAATTTTCAGGCATCAAACCTGAGGCTAGAGAAAAAGTTTTATTCTAGCTTTTTCTCTAAGATCTATGGAAGAAAGCTTGAATTACTCTTATTGACTTAAAAACAAATTATTGATTGACTGGCAGTAACTTTTCACCTGTAACCCATGTTCTAGCAACAAAGAGCATAGAAAATAAAATTTGCCAGCTTTCTTTTCACGTTTCAGGTATGTCAGACACTGCTTTAGGTGCTTGCAGTAAGTGGCATCCACAGAGGAAATGATCTTCAGGAAATTGTTGTCTGTTTCAATGTTTTTAGTGTAACATGCTTTGAAGGAGTGCAGCTTGACAATGACTGCATACTGTTTGTGTACATTTAGGTGCAGGTTTTGTGTTTATTTTTGTTTCTTGGACTGCCTTGTAGGTTTGTTCACTGTAGATAGACCAGGAATTTTATATTCTTCCTGCTGCTGCACTCAGCCGGCATGGATAAGTAG